ATTGAACTATCAGCGCCACTGTTTTCTTGGATATGATACATAATATAGAATTATTTTTGACAGTACAAAATAGTACAAATTCAATCATATAAATTTCTGATATATTTTTTTTTATTTTGAATTGGTTCTGCCAGCTTAATATTAAGCTAGCACCGCCACAAATTTTTTTCGAAATGGCACACGGTACAAAATTATTATTAATGGTACAATTTAATACAAAATGAGTACTAAAAATTCCGATAAGTCCAATTTGATTCTGCTAGTTTTATAGAGCTATATACTTTGGCCTTTTCCATGCCATTACGTTATAAAATTACGTAAAATATTTGATTATCACGTCAAATTTAGCGTTTCTAATAATTAAAGTAACATTTGTTTATAAGTTGTATGTGTTTATAAGTTGTGTGTGTATGTATAATATAATATACAATATCTTTTTGCAACTACATTATTTCATATCGATTTGTACTTTAAGATATCTTATTTACTTATTTTATATATCTTATCTTTTTTTTTTTCAAGATATATTTTCAATAATTACGTAGGTAATAAGTGAAAAAGACAGAGAATTATAACGCGTATATCTGTCGATAGCTTTATAAAATTGTCAAAATTATTAAGAGAATACATGATAAAAAATCGTGAGAAGTAGCACGAACTAAATCCCAGTTTAAATTTTACGCTCTGCTAAAACTAATTGTTTTATCAATTTTCCTTAAGTTAGTTTGGTCAATTCTCTTAAAGGCCGATTATTCTACCTTTGAATAAACTACTTATAATCAGTGGTGTTTTTAAGGCTGCTAAATTCGGTGCAAAGATAAAGTTGAGAGGGGGCTCGGGCATTATTATCAATTCAAAGCAATTCCTACATACAGCATAGATCTGTAATATTACAGCAAAAAATTCATAAATGTTTACCACGTACCGGAGCTTACAGGAGCCCGCAGATCCTGAAGTTTACGAGGGCTCGCGGATTCTGCGGCCCGTCGGTGCGTCGCATCGATATTAAAAACGCCTCTGCTTATAATTTATTTAATAAAAGAAATAAGGGAAGAAAGAGAACGAAAGCGAAAGAACAAGTAAGCTGAGATTTATCGAATGGTGGAACAACCTAGTCTAAAATTGGTTGTTTCATCAATTTTAAAAAAGCGCGAAATTAGATTTAATTTGCGCTAATTCTTAACGCATAACTTTTTAGCGATAAATATTCTCCTAAAAACAGATGATTTTTGAAAGATTTTCAGAAGACATGTATTTTCTAACCGTTGCTTAATTTCTGATCATTTTGGAAACATAGATAAATTCACAAATAAAACAGACGTCGTGTGCAATCCGAATTGAAATAACATTATTATATATTTGCATAGAGAGAGAATAAGAATTTATTTAAACGATATGTTGAAACTCATTGTCAAAAGCTGGAGACTTAAACGTTGTAGTGTATGTGTAAGTAAATATTTTATGTAATCGTAGCTAAAATTGTGAAATCATTGTCTTTGATGAATCGTAATCGTTTATGCGAACACAATCATGCTGTTAATCATAAAGCACGTTTATATGAAGAGACGTAACAAAAAACGAAAATTATGATGATTAATCTTTCAAGCGTATTTCAGTCGATACATCGTAATAATTTCAACGTGATACATTTTTTATTTATAATCTCATTATACGTTATCGTTTTCTTACATGTATTTTTTTACAATTTGTAACTTTACAACATATGCGATGTTATATGTTGAAAAAAGCCGTAGAAGATTATTAAAAGAAATCTTGATTGAAACAATATCTTTTACGCTTAATGAAACGAATGAACTGAATACGTATTATGTATGCATGCTTACAAAATCATCTATTTTGATAGACGCGAAAATCAAGTTATTATGTAAAATCAATTAATTACAACAGTTCACAACATATTTACATTATTCTTCGAGTGTCCCTTGTCTTTTCTTTTTTTCAATCCGTTACTTGGTATGTGAAATAAAGACTCCATGGTATTTAAATATTCTTTTATTGGAACAGAACTATAATTGACCTACGGACTATATAAATCTCATTGCTTATACCTCGAGCAAAAAGTCTGGACTTTTTTTTTTTAAGAATAAATTTTAAAAATAAATTTAACAATTTATACATGTATCATTCTATATATATATATATATACATACACAAGGTAGGCTATCGAAATAGACTGAATAACTCGTACAAAAATGATTTTTCGAAAAAACGCAAAAACAGGAGAATTTTTATTGGGAGGACATCTAACGTATCCTTCAACTTTTATTTTTTCCTAAGCGGGGTGCCAATTCTTTAAAAAATTCAAATGGAAAGGGAGAATTAATGATACAGCATTAGAAACGTCTTTCAATTCTTATATTCTTACATTTTATTTTTTAAATTCGATCAATTCGAGAGAGATTTTAGGAGATAGAGGATGTTAAATCTAAAATAAACAAGTCTTCATATCTTCAAACTTTTTTTGTTTATCATGAATCAGTCCATTAATCAATTATAAGGGGTGTTTAAAGATATACCATCATGTATAAGATGAATATTGACAATTAATATGTACCATCTTGAAATTTGAATTTTGCAGCATTGAGGTAAGTTAATCGCTGTTTGCACAGTAATCTCATTTATTTATAATACTTATTGTAAAAGCTCAATCAATATAGTTTTGCACCATCCAGCCATTCAAATCCCAGCAAACGAGAATGGATTGAAATGAATTGAAATGGATTCAGATTTTCAGAAATATTGATTCACGAATGTTAAATGAAGACTTATCAATCCCGAATGCATTTTTATTCATTTATAAGAATTGCATGGAGTATATCTCTATGTCTTTCAATCTAAAAATAATATTAGCTTTTTCTGTGCATTGTTGAATACTGTTCAATTCAAAATTTTGAATAGGAAATGCAGTTTTTCATCCAATTGAATCTAACTGAATCCAATTAAATCCAAAAAAAAAGTATTCGATATTTAAAATATGTGCATTCGGATAGAACAAAATTTCAATCCATTTTAATTCATTCTCGTTTGCTGAGATGATATGGAATTGCTTTGGAGAGTTTGAGAGAATTGGTATTCTCATGTGAATTTATGTCTAATTTACGCATACTAAGTAAAGTACTGATTTATTCATCAAGGCTAAGATTAGCTGAAATGTTAAAGATATATACAGGGTGTCCGATAAGTTTTGACAAAGCGCTCGTATTTAGATAGAGCGGACGAAATTAAGTTGAAAAGTCGTCTACCATTTTGCAATTTTCGTATTAGTGAACGAGATATTAATTTCTAAAAATTGACGAACAAGTGAAGTAAAATCAACGCATAAACAACTTTAAGATTGCAGAGTTTTTCTTGAAATATCTTAAAGATATTTTTCAGCGAATCTTAAAAATATCTTAAAATTATTTTATGTGTCAAATTTAAATATTCTGCTTATTATAGGTAACTAAAAAAAAAATTGCGAAAATTGCAAAGTGATAGAAGATTTTTCGATTCAGTTTGATCCGTTCTATTGTATCTACACACGAGCACTTTGTCAAAACTTACCGGATACCTTGTATATAAAGTTTTATTAACTAATCGCTCATTTGTAACAACGCTAACTCCTAATATAGCCGGTTTTTTACTATTCTCATATTTATTTGTTATTGAGATTTTGCGATAGTGAGAGCAGCTCATGGCGAGATCATGAGAGAAATATATAAGACTTTGTGAGGATAGGAGCTCTCACTTGATCCTACATGTCATTTAAGATTTTCTGGCCCCCCGAGAGTAATTAAGGTAAGTATCTTCGAAGTTAAATGATAAATTTTATGATGCCATTGTATCTCTATAAATTTCAATCCTATATCTCGAATCATTTGGAATTTATTTAGGTAATTAAATGAGAGTATGTTAAGAAGGGATATGAGCCAAAATGACAAATTTAATGTACGTGATAAGATACAAATAAAAATAAAACTAAAAATAAAATGACTACATTAAAATAACAAACGTTTCAAGGTCTCCGATTTCAGGTCATTATCATTGTTAAACATATATATATAAAACGATTGAATACAAATTATTTAGGTAACTCGGACTTTTTCTTTATCATGGCATTCCTTTTGGCGGGCACTTGTAGGACAGAGTGTACCATTTTAATTGTCCCAGGCAATTATACTGACAGAAATATTTCCGGTAAGATTGTCTAATTCTTGATTTCGCGACAGCGCACGTGAGCGCCGAAAAATTTCTGACGTAGCTAATCGTCGCGATGCATTTTCACGACTATCACGTTTTAATGTTATCAACTGGCACCTGACGTAATTGTCGAGGATTCGGTGATATCGCGAAATATTACACACGCGCGAAATATTACCTGTGTTAATTGGTCGACGAACGAGAACCTTTTTGGCAAAAGGTGCATACAATAACGTCAGCGACTATCATAATCGTCCTCCGGCCGCCACCTCCTCTACCTACCCGGTAATGGTATCGCCGTCGTGGCTTTCGGTGATTCGTGTCATTAATAAAAACAATTACGGCCTCGAAATACGTGAGCGACAAAACCGGATAAATTGCGAGACGAAGCCGGCGGGGGGTTGCAATTTATGGAAAACAGACACGGGACTCGTGCATGGAAGTAGATTTGCTAAAATTGGTCTCAGTTCGCGCTATGACTTGAAACCGATAATCACCACTTCGGAAGGATGAAGAGGGTGGGAAAACCGGGATAAATAAAGGTGCGTGGGAGAATCGTGTAACAATTTAGTTTAAAGGGCCTTCCTCGTCGCATCGTACTTTTCACTTTCAATCTCTTAAATGCACACGATATTTGTCGCCTCTTATAAATTTACATTTCTTAAAAGAAAAACTTGATGAATTGTTTAGTCTCGATAATATGAAAATTCGTTTAACTGCTCGATATAATATGGAATAATATTGTAAAAATTAGTGCATGGTGTGTTTACTTTAAATCTTAAACCCCAGTAACGAGAAGTTGGATAAAGTAAAAGATATTGTAGTAATACCGAGGTGCATACACTGCATACATCGCTTTAATAAAAGTGACTGTCTACCGAGGAAATGATTGCGCACTGGTGTTTTGTCTCGCTGCTATGTTATGGATTCGTCGTTCAAATAAATGGTCTATTTCGCACACGCGGAATATTCTCTCCGAAAACCGATCCCAATCTATTGGTCGTAAGTAAAATAATCTAGAATTGTTCTTATAATGAAGTATATAAGTAACATGAGGATTTATTTGTCAAGTTTGAAATCATAAACGTATTGCAAATTAAAATGGAAATTTTAATAACATTAGAGTTTACACAAATTCTTAAAAAAACTTTCATCACTACTCTATTTATAATCATAAACTAATAAATTTAAATATTAAAGTTCCAAACTTTTAATTGTCATTTTAATTTTAAGTATAATCAATAGTTAATTATCAATTAATTATTGAATTAAATATTATAACAATATAATATATTATAGGACCGTACATGTGTGATAACACAAACTGTAGAAATCAAAACCTTAAACGGTTTAGCTGGATCTTAAATGCTTGTACGATTCTTGTGTAATAATTAATTCTTATTGCGAAAAATATTACCTTGATCGAGAGTCAAATCCAGGAATATTTTTCGCAATAAGAATTATTATATTGCGAAAAATATACCTTGAATCTGGATTCGACTCTCGGTCAAGGTAATATTTTTCGCAATAAGAATTAATTATTTACAGGTTTTAATATGTTACTCAACATTATTAAGATCATTTCGAAGATGCGAGTAAGCATCAAAAATTTATTAAATTGCAATTTAACTCATGATATTACTGCGGTAATTTAGTAGAATTAACATTTTTTAAACCAAAAAATCATTTCGGCGCGCGTTTCTGGGGACTATATACGTAGTATATAAATTCACACAAGAATCTTATAAGTAAATATTATAATTTAATTTAAACGTAAGTTAATTATATATATACTCAAAGTACAATTATACTTAATTAATTATGGCCATTTTTACCAATGTAGATTAACTTTAATCTCGGTTCAATTCGGTTCTTCATCTTATTCTAACTTTAAAAATTCGAAAAAGATGAAAAGTAAAAGTTAAAATGAAATTAAAAGTCAATCTACGCTGAAGGTAGAAATAAACATATTATACACAAAAATTGTTATAATATATAATATAACAGTAAACGAATAATTATCTTTTATTATTTATACAAATTTTTATATAAGAATACCATTTTAACAACCGACACCAGATAGTGATGTATTTAATTTATTCAATATTTGTAAATAATAATCAACCATAATATTGTATTATACATACGTTTCGATCCCCGATTTGGATCCTCTTTAGCATACATAATTAGATATAATTTAAATTTAACGCATAATCATATCAATCCTCAGTAATACTACTTTTAACGAAATGTTAACACAATCTTTGTATCTCAGTAATTAGAATTACTGAGCATCGGTATGCCTATACGTTAAATTTAAATTACGTTTAATTACACAAAGAGAATTCGAATCGGAGATCGAAACGTATGTAGTATTATGATTGATTATTATATATATTGAATAAATTAGACGCGCGCGCGTACGTGCACGCGCGCACACACACACACACACACACACACACACATCACTATCTGGTGTGGTCTCTTAATGGCATTCTTATCTATTGATTTCATCAAAGCCTTTAATTCCTTATTATTGTTTAATATATTATATAATAAATATTAGAGATAATTAACTTTCAATTATCAATCATATCTCAACAAATTATTTGTTGTTACTTTAGGAAGATAAAGTAGAACAAAACGGCTACCCTTTTGAACTTCACCATGTAACAACTGATGACGGATATATATTGGCTGTTCATCGGATACCTAATCGCTCGAATACAACTATTGAGAATAATCGAGTAGTATTGATCATGCATGGATTGTTGGGATGTTCGATGGATTGGCTGATAACGGGTCCGAATCGATCACTCGGTATCAAATCAGTTTTCCTCCTTAGTGTTTTCCCTCCTCTTTAATTTATAGATTTTAATACATTGATTAAAGAATTACCCTTTATAATATCATCTATTAGCTTATCTCCTGGCTGACGATGGCTATGATGTGTGGCTCGGCAACTCTCGTGGAACCACCAATTCAAAGAACCACACGTACCTTCCCATAAGCAGCGCTAAATTCTGGGATTTCAGGTATCGCGAAACTTCGAAATGCCGTCCTATTCATGCGGTCCCGTCTCTCACACTTTTCACGAACTAGAAAAATGAAAGAAATCCTAACTCAAACGTTAAAATCTGATATTCTCCTGGTGGAAAAATTTCGCTGAATCACATTTTGGACACACTTTTCAGCAAAATTTCAGCATTTCAGAAAAATCCTAGTTTAATTTCAGCGATGTTTAGCTGAAAAATTCATTTTCAGCGAAATTTGACTTTTCAACTAAAATTGATCATTTTATTCAATGTCCTGGGAATGAATAAAATAGGTCAATTTTGATCAAAGTAATGGAATCTTTCTTATTTTTTATTTTCTTTGTAACAGAATTTATGGTATCTATGTCATTTTATAATGGTGTCTATTGTACATTCTAATTATTAATCAATTGTAATTCTCCTGTGCGTTTTCTATTTAGCTGGCACGAGATGGGTATATACGATTTGCCGGCTATGATAGACTATATATTATATCAAACTGGCCAAAAGCAGCTGTTCTACGTAGGCTTTTCTCAAGGAACAACGCAGTTTTGGGTCCTTGCGTCCCTCAAGCCAGAATACAATAAGAAAATCAAACTTATGTCAGCTCTAGCTCCTGTGGCTTACACTGGACACATTGGCGGTTTGCTGAGACCTTTGAGTTATTTTGCGGATTATTTTAAAGTAAGTATTAGACAGCTACTCTGGTAGTAATCCAAAATATTTTCTGAAATTTCAAAAAAAAAATATAAATAACTTACGGAAGTCATTCTTCCAACTTCAATTTATAAATTACAGAATATAATTAGATATATCTGCTACTTTATCACAAACAAAGCTTATTATACTTATGTAAAATAAAATCTTTACTTATATTTATGTACACACATACACATACACACACGCGCGCGTGTAGATTTTTTTCGTTAAGAAACATTTGCGACATTTGCAATTACTTTTGAGATATGCAAATTATTCGAATACGAATCAAATCAAGTAAGATTTTAGGATTTTAGCTCATTCAATATACATACATATATACATGCACTAGATGTTTATTAATGAAATTATAAATGTTCTAGTGAATTTGATCACTTTTGTAATTTTCAAGACACGCAATCAATTCTCAGAATCGATTCGATTCGTATTCGGAAAAAAAATTGGATTTGATTCGGAGCCAAAAAACCTTGATTTGCACGTCTCTAGACTATACTCGTATATCTAAGGGATAATTCTATTTAAAAAGAAAGCAGATTTTTCTCGCAAATCTACTCTGTGTTGATTATTATACTCGCTCAATTCGACAGGGATTTTACAAGTTCACTGGATATTTTGAAATGTTAGCGAATACGGAATTAGAGAAATTCGTAACACACGTCTTATGCCAGAAAGACATTGTCACTCAACCCTTGTGCCAGCTGATCGTATCCATGATTGGAGGTTTTAGCATCGGAGAGACGGATTATGTAAGCTATCGCCGTAAAAACCATACAAATCGGTTTCGATTGAGCTAAACGTGACTCCGATTCGCTTATATGAGATGACATTATTTTCAGGAGCACTTGGAGGATTATCTGCAATTTGCACCAGCGGGATGCTCGTTCAAGCAATTGGTTCACTACGCGTTGGGCATTCAGAATCCAGGTATCGGGTTTTCAGAGTCCGATTTTTTTAACTATGGATTTGTGGGATCACGAATTTTTTTTCTTTTAAATACAGAGAATAAACAAAATAATATAAACACTTAGAAAATTGCTTGTTTTATTAATAAGAGGTCGCCAATATTGGCCTTTAATATAGATTCTATCCTTGTTGAATAGTTATACAATGCACGAATAGTCACCAATGGAATGTTGTACACGGAAGGAACAATTTTTGTTAAAGTATTTGAAAGTTTAGCTAAATCAGATCTGAAAATAATTTGGTTGGACTGTCCAAATAATTATGTAGGACACTCAAGCTGGTCGCTTATAATAGAATGTCAAAACGTATTACGTGTCATACTTGAATTTCCTACATAATTACTTCGACAGTCCAACAAGATTATTATTTTCAGATCTACCCAAGTTTTTAGATTCTTCAACAAAAAATCATTCTTATCATATATTATTCTCTTCTAGAATTTTTCAAATGCTTAGGTACGTAAAGTCGAAGAAACAAATTTACCTTTCACTTTATTTTCCAAAATTATTTTTTGTTCTTCAAAATTTTAGTTTTTCCTGGCCAGCGCAATGGCCTGATCTAAATATCATTGAATCATTATGAGCAGAATAAGAAAGACAAAAAGGTTGAAGTGTAGAATAAGAACTAGAAGAGTAAAATAAAAAGCAGTTTTCCTCCAATATCTCTTAAGCAGTGTTCTGCTGAATTGGAGAATTGTATTAGAAGAATGGTGTATTACATTGCACTGATGTGTTCGAGCATTGTACAATTCTATTCCAGTATAAGGATAGAATCTATCGATCTGTTTTTCGCAGTTGAACATTTTTGGAACTTAAAGTGAAATAGGTATATTTGATATTTGTCGAAAGCAAGAGTTCTAATGCAGTCTAGTGCAAGAACAGAAAACAGACCATATATGTCGAAGACAAATGATAGGCCAGTGATATTATAATCTGTTACAATAAAACAAGTGATGTGTATTTCTTAGGTGTTCAGATTTTATTTTATCTATCTCCTGTACGTGCTAACCAGTGCTAACACCAATTACACCTTCATAACCCAGTCGCTTCTCTTGCAGGACATTTTCGGCCTTACGATTATGGCACATTACCAAATCTCAAGTTTTACAGGCGATTCGTTCCGCCGGAGTATCCCATGGAAAAAATCACGGCCCCCGTGATTTTGTATAACGGCTTGAATGATATTTTGGCTGCTCCAAATGTAATTAAATGCATCACTAATTTGCCGTTGTGTATACAACAATTGAACGAAAGGAAGATATTCTGTTGTCTTTTCAATCTTGCATAAAATACCAAATAACATTTTATCATTTATAATATTTTAGGATGTTGAGATATTAAACGGAAAATTGCCGAATATTTTGGAAAAATACACGGTGACGCTAAAGAGATTGAATCACTTCGATTTCGTATACGGTTTGCACGTACGACAACTCGTTTACGATTATCTTATTGAAAAAATGAATTCCATACCGTAAAGGTAAAACGCAAATTCTTAAAAATTAGTTACAAACGAGTCTTGCAAACGATTTGGATTAATTATATGATTTATGCATTTTAGATACCTAATTAATTTGATTAAATACCTGGTATCCTTTGCAATTTTAACGTAACTAGGAGTTGCTTCAGGGAAGACACGAAAACTACTTCAACTAATTTTGCATTAATTTTATTTCACGTTCGTCTTTCTCGTAATCGTATAAATTTTGATTACGTGTGCCTTTTTTTAGAAAAGAAAGATATACTTTTGTACATTAGAGCAAGTAATATTAGACGAGTCTATAACATAAAGCTATCAGTACCTACTATTTATTACGTAGCATTGACTTTTTTACTATCTGAGATAAGAGATTGAGAACGCGTATTCAAAATTGCAACTGTACCACAATGCTGTGTATGTTGACGAACTGAATCATAGTAAAATGTTGAAGTCCAGTAGAAGCCAGTAGAAGATGCTGAAACAAAATAAGATTTCTAGGACTCGTGTCGAAATCCCGGCGCATAATTCTACAGAGATTATTGATTCGTTATACTTCAGCCTAGTAATGTATAATACTCTTTACAAAGTCCACACAAAGCATTTCTTTTTCTTATCAAAATTCAAATATATTTTTACTCGTATACAAATCATACGTTATTGAAGTGTTTATCGAATTCATTTGTTACATTTATTTATTGTTATATTTATTTATATACATGTACATAATTAACATTATAGATGTAACATGATAATTTTGATATATAGTTAATAAAAAGATATTTGCGCGCACGATCTTGTTTGGAATAATTTTATACGAAATAGAGAAAGATATTACTGCAAAATAATTTCTATCAAAATTTGTATTTGCAGTAATATATCGAATAAAATACATTGCAGCAATATTTTCCTTTTTTTTGTGTGTACAAAATTATTCTGAAAATAACGAAGTATACGAATTTATTATTCCCTATTTATCACTTCCTGTAAATAAGAATCCATACGAATCCTGAATACTATCAATAACATTTATTTATTTATACAAAAGTTTCCATGTATAAAGATGCGCGTATTTTTACAAATTGCGAGTCTCATAATTCCGATGTCTAAAAAGATAGTTGAACAATTAAATCATAGTTTCGCTTCAAATTGTTATATTTTTGCGTGAAATAACTGTACTTTATTAATCAAGAAATAATTATTCAGTAATTACATTTTTGTAAGTGAGATAATCTTTTTTAACGTTCTGAACAAGAGAATCATGTTATTCATTTAAATTATGTTACTTTACTCATCTCATTCTCTAAGATTTATAATAATTCTCTGAAAAAACCAATACTTCATTTTTTCACCGACAGTGAAATAATAATTGCCTAATAACTATACACAAATTTTTTGACATTCTTGTTATATATGAATTATGTGAAATTATTAAAGCATAGAAAATGCATGACTAGTTAACAAGACTTATTTGAAGATATATAATATCAATAAATACGTATATGTAATTTTGAAACAAGATAAGAATTCTAGATATTAAAAGTATTCAGATTAAATAGTAAAAAATAAATTTCATATTAATAAAATATCTACTTGAAAGAAAAAGATTTTCCAAGGAAACTCGAATATTTTGAAGATATTCAATGGATAGGAATGCACAATTAATGCTTACTAATTTTGAATGCCTAACCTTGACAAATCTTGAATCACTTTCAGCCTCGGTACCTATGATGGAACATGTCGGGATGAGTTCCGATCGGAATTATTCCGTTTTCCCTAGAAAACACAATAGAAATATAGGGAATAATTGAATAATTCCGATCGGAATCCATTCTGATTTGTTCCGTGATAGGTGCCCTTCTTTTATTTTTCTTATATTATAACTAAATTTAATAACAAACTATCATAACATATCTATAGAAAATCTACAAAGTTATCAAGTAATTTTATTGCATATAATACTTATCATTATATGACTCAAAACAAAGATTGAGCAAAACTTTCACTGCTTTTTTATTGCATAATGACAAATTATATTCTTTATATGTAGCTCGACTTTTCCAACACAAACTTCAATCAATGTAAAACTATATAATGGAAAAACGAAAATGTATAACGTCTATTGCAATCTAATCATCTCACGTGTGCGTGTGCTGGGCTGCGTTCAGAATCATCATCCGAGTGCTCCTAGATGTTGTTTTATCTTTGTTTAATATTCGGTGAACAAAACTGAAACAACATCTGCATCCGCACGACGATTCAGAACTCGGTCCAGTTATAAGAAAATATTTAATATATCCAAGAAAATATTTAATATATCCATTGCTCATAGCAAATAAAAAAAAATTCCTTGTTAAGCATCTCAGATTTCTACATCGCATTAAAACGGCGTCATTTATATATAATGTATATTTTTCAATTATTGCAGATAACATATAAACACTATAATAATCGAGAGCCGAATGAGAGATGTAATATAAAAAAAGCAAGAGAAAAACTCTAAGAAACGATCTTTGATTAGTCTATGTAACAAGCCGCGGAGAGACTCTTGTTAAGAATAATATAATATCACTGCTTTTCTCATATTGTTCTGTTAAAAGGTACAATCAGAATAAATATACAACCTTGGCTAGGAGCGGATCCTGACCTCAATTCCTGTATCGATGTGACGACTTCTTACCATCACGATAGCTCGACTTGGACCGTGACTTTCTACTTCGGTCTCGCGATCTGGATCGACTGCCCCGCCGTTGGCTCCTCCCGGAAACGTAGGACCTTGACCGTCTGTGATCCCGCGAACGGCTGCGCGTTCTCGAGCGCGATCTTCCGCGTTTCGTTCCGCGCGACTTGCTGCGCGACCGAGTACCTCGTCGCCTTTCTCTGGAATGTGAGCGCGATTTCCATCTACGAGAGTGCGACCGCGAAGACCACTTTCTGTCGTTGGACGTGGATCTAGAGCGACGGTAGCTGCGCGAACGTGATCTCACACGCTTCCTGTCGCGCGACCGCGTGCGACGCTTTCTGCTGGATCTGTGATTGCTGGAGGATCGTGAGCGATAGTCCTTCCGTGATTTCGCTGATCTCGAACGCGACCGGCGCTTGTGGCTACCACCACCACTACCAACACCACCACCACTACCACCACCGCCAGAACCGCTCCCGCCGCCGACGCCGCCGCCGCTGCCACCACCGCCGCCGCCGCCGCCGCCGCCACCGCCGCCGCGTTCGGATGAGCGCGATGACCTGATGGACCGTCTACCACTTCGTGACTTGCTCCTGCTCTTAGACTTCCGCCGTCGATTGTAACGCTGTTGATGCTGTTGCTGCTGCGACTGTTGTTTGCGCGCTTTCTCGTGATGCTTCTTGGGCGCGGATTCGCGGCTCGACTCAGACAAGCTGCTCGTGGACTCGGTGCTGCTTGACTCAGAATCGGCGGATCCCGATACGGTGCTGCTCGGCTTCGCTACCTGCTGGCCGTCGGCCGCCGGCGCGTTCTGCGGCACCGCCGCTGTTGGGCTTTGACCGCCGCTCGACAAAGTCTCGGACGCTTCTCTCTGATTATCTACCGTTTCTTTTTCATCAACTAAAGTATGACGTCAGGAAGTTACACTTAATTTCCCAGCAGCCACATGCGGATGGGTTGTCTGTCGAAACATACCTGACTCTCGGCAGCTAGTATTACCGGTATGATTTTCCTGTTGCTTATTACTGTACTGCTCTTCGCTACGCTGCTCCTCCTCCTCCTCTTCCTCGGCGAGCCGTGCCTCGATCTCCTCCTCTGTCTTGCGAAATGCCTGCTGTCGCCGTCTCAGTGTTTCCTGCGAAATTGACTCGTGAAATAAAACGGTGTCACCTTTGCAAGTTGAGTTAATCGCGACGAATAATTAATCTAACAGTACTGCGAAACTAAAATCTATTTGAATTTTTTAACTTTTATAGATACGTATAGTGATTTAATATAGGATTTATCCATACCGCATCATCCTTTAATAAGATTTTTTATTTTAAAAGCAAGTGCTTTTGAAACAAAAAATTAAAAAAATCTTTTTTTAAAGAAATATATATATATCTTTTGTCTTTAAGAGAAAACGGGATACAGTCAAATCCAAGGTAACATTTGCGAACATATAATATTTCAGAAAAAGAAATAAATAAACACAATTTAGATCTTATTGAGCAAAATCTTCCCCTTTAAGATTGGAAATCATATTTTTGAAGAACCATAGAGCACGAATAACATGCATATCGTTATTCATGGATTGAGTCACTTTACATATCCATAAAAATTGATCCAAATACAAAATTTCGCAGTGTTTCCTCATGTAAGAAAATTCCTACCTTCAACTCTTCATCGCTATCATCATTCTGAATCTGCGCGTGTTCACTCTGTTCCTCCTCGGACTCGCTGTTACTGTCGTTATAGATGCTCAGACCTACGGCAGACAAGAGCCAGGAATTACATCCGTTTAGTGCGCACGCGACACTCTCTCAAATGTCGGAGCGACAGAAAAACAAATAAAAAAAAAAGATAAAAGATATATGCTCGGCTCTGGCTAATTTTCACAGCCGTTACTCTCATCAAGAAACGTCCTGAGAAAGAGCACGAGAGAGAGAGAGAGAGAGAGAGAGAGAGAGAGAGAGAGAGAGAGAGAGAGGGGGAACACCTCTCTTTCGGTTGCAGCGATAAATAATTTCTACGAGAGAACGGCCGAGTTTAACATCAAGTTAAACTTGAACTTGTGCGTAATTACGCAGTGTCCCTTTTCTTTTTCTCCTTTCTCACGAGTCACTGCGTCACTGTTTCACGGCCGTTCCCTACAGATATCGCCGTGCGTTATAATAGAGCGTCAAAGCGTACTCACCGAGTGATTCGTGAGTGATCTGAGCAAGAGGGGCCATGTTGAGGGATGCGACGGGGGTCTCTCCTGCAGGGACTTACAATACACACGCATTTAGTAATCAATCGCTAAAAGTGTGCAGTACCGCATACGGATAACGCCCCCGATAATACCGAATGGCTCTGATCAGCCCATTCGCGCAAGGGGGGCGAATCATCCCTTCGCTTCCTTTTATGTACCTTAAGAAATCTTTAATAGCACATTATTTCACACTTATAAATCAAACTATAATATTCTAATGCCCTAAAGGAAAATTACATCTACATCGCGCGATTTGCTACGCAGCTTGTAACTTTTATTGCCGGAACTTCGAAGGATAAAGTTCGCAATGCATGAAACGAAGTTTGTTAGAGATACTTATAAAAATTCGGACAAATGCCTTTAAAATGTTTATAAATCAAATGATAAAACATGCCCATGCATAGATGGGTATGACAGATATAACACGTATTTTTCATTAATTATACACACATTAAATATTATTAAATTATAATATCTAGACGTTTTCTTATTAAAACAATTTCAGATTGTTAAAATATTATTTACACTATGATATAAAAGTATAATATTTTAGAGTGCCTTTATCATAAAGATATATCGCGAAAAAGATCATTACCGGACATAAAGATGCCGGTAATGTAAAAATGTCTTAAAAATCTGCGACACGTAATCATGGGACGATTACGTGATTAAAAGCGAGAGAGAGAGAGAGAGAGAGAGAGAGAGAGAGAGAGAGAGAGAGAAAGAGAGAGAGAAATGTGTCTTACGCTACACGCAAATCTCTGAAAACGCAAAACATAGGATGTCCTGAAATTGCCGAATAATTAAGTCTACATGTTAAGGTATCTCTGTTTAATGCTCTCAAACTTTGTATTACACAATCGCACAGCTTCGTCGCAGCGTGGTGTCGCGAGTAGACTCATTGACTCGGATTCTGTGCCCCGATGGGCGAAAGCACGGAAATTCAATTGGTTAGTTCTATCGTGTGTATCTGGGGGGGTACCTTTGGCACGTGCGCGGCTCCAAACCTCCCTGCATACCGCACCAATTTCTTCGTTCGTCACTTCCAGAAGTATTTCCGTCAATGATCTCCTCACTTTCAACATCTGCATAATAGAAGACATGATGCAACTCACTCGAATATCATCAAATTCATTATAATTAATTAAACATATTGGATATTAATTTAAATTATTTTGGATTAACTTAATATCAGTTGTTGATATCGTATCTTTTATTTTTATGTAATAATTTTTGAAGTTGAAGTTATTATTACTTTTTTGCGAAGTTGGAATAAAAAACTTTCATTCAGAATACAAAAACATATATGACATATCACTTAATAAAAATAGTATACTGACGCCAAGTTAAATCCCAAACCATGCATGCTAAATTAAATAAAGAATATAATCCATGTGATCCTATCTTTAATCTTTGATACAATGAAACCTAAGGACATATCTTTGTATTCCTATTGAAGGATCTTCCTATCCAAATGACTGATTCTTTTTATATAAAATTTGTATATGATAATTAATTTAAAGACATTTTCTCTTCCTAATTGTAAATAGTAGTTGTTTAATTCTTCTTCAAAATATTCAAAACGTTAGTACAAAATTGCGTTACCTTGTCTATAGTTTATTTTCATCTTTATACTTACCACATCCTGTAAAATTTCCTCTCGAGACCGTTTCTGCACAATCGGAACCATACTAATCGCAGCAGTCGGACTCTCATCGGGTCCCGTATGAGACTCGGGCGAATCGGCGTCCTTGAATCGTGATTTTCGCGGCCGAACAATGATATCCGGGGTGCGATCGTAGCTCTTTTCCACAGATTGTTGTCCGCGTGCGTTACTCGTATCGAAATCCTGCTCGGTTTCCTTTTCCGAATCCGAATCCTATAGAGGCAAGTGTGACAATATAATAATTTCATGTTTTAAAATCCGCGAATTGTCATGGACAATATCGGCACAATATAAAAACTCAGCGGATTTATAATCTTTAAAGTTTGAACAAATATGACTATGCGGAATTTTCATCATGTCGTTTTTTGCCACTTGACTTATCAATTATATATCAATGTAATGAAGAAAATGAATCGTCATTCTTCCAGTTTGACTATAAAGTAGGAATTAATATTTAAACTCAACATACTGAAATAAAGCTGAAACGTCTGTAATTATTATTATTCGCGTTACATTGATTAAAAATTTGTAAATTGAAAAATTTTATAATCGTCTTCACACTAATTACTGCGCAAAAACTTTCATTAGCCCGATTTGTTTTTATCTTATTTGACATTCTCGAGAGTTACTCTTTGTTTTGTGATATAAAAACAAATATGATTAAATTTTTTCCTGAAATGAGAAGATAATTTTCGCTATATTTTACAAATCTATTCTATAAATTTTTTCTTGTTTTTTTTTGTTTTCTTGTTCCTGATGTCATAATCTGAGGTAATAATTGAGTGAACGAGAGTTTTATTGCTTACAAATTTACTCTTGCTCGGATTGAGCACTGCACGCGCCTCATCCTCTGCTTGCTTGCGAGCTTCTAATTCCTGCTTTCTCAGTATCTCTAGTCTTTCTTTCTCCATGGCTTTCTGTTTCTCCTTCTCCATCTTCTCCAGACCTTCGCGGATCCATGCCGGCAACTGTCTTCGTTTTGCGGCATCTACACAAAATAAATTAACAAATGTATAACTGATGATGTGTTGAAATTTCATAATTGCTGCAACAAATCAGCTGAATCAGTTTCAACGATTACAAGCTGTTATTATTATCCGTTATAATTTTTACCTATAGTTGTAGTAGTATCTTCCTCTGGAGTCTTTTCTCTGTCATCTCGAACTCGAATAGAATCCATCGCTCTCATGTGAGGTCCTCTACTTGCATGCCTCATGCCCTTCATAAAAGGAAGCGGTTGTGGTGATATTGCATTAGGTGGCTCACCAGACCAATAGTTAGAAACCTGATAAACACATTTATTAAGGTACTTAATGCAACATGTGGCGTCCATATAAAAGCAGTTGATTCACAATCGATGAATTTCGAGTGAATTTCGATCTCGATCCTTATCTCAAGTATGTCTTGACTTTACAAGAAATTGATTAAAGAATTATGTAATTAGTTTGTGAATAGTACCCGCCTCTCTCTCTTCCAGATTACAATTTTTAATAATTTTTTTTAGATTGCTCAATTTAACTTTACAATGTCAATACTTTTATTATTATTTTAATGATTTATCTTGCTGATAAGGACTAAGTTAAAATGTCCATTTGTCTTTCTAAATTTGTCTTTCTAAATATTAGAGAATAAATTATTTATTGCTAATACTTATAGTTTTACCATTTTTAATTTTTCATTGTTCTTGGTCATTGTTTTTCTTATATTGCTTTGCAACTGACAAGCCTTACATTTACTTTATTTATTTACTCAATTTCAACTAGATATAAAATAAAAAAATACTTAGCTTGAGAATAGACTACTCGAAAATCTTCTGGGATCCTCTTTCAACCTAAACTATTCTGTGCTATTCTAGAAAAGAGATTTCACTTTCCTTCATTTTTTTTACCTGATTGTATGGTTGTCCAGGTGGCACCGAATTATACGAGTACAGCGACGGCGCAGGGGGAGGTGTGTTGAAATCAGTAGTGGTCGATATCGTTGGTGCAGGTGGAATAACCGGTACGGCTGGAAGTCCAATTGGTTTGCCATCGGGATCTACAGTAACACCCGGAGGAGGAACGCCACTCCATTCCCAATTCCCAGTTCCAGATGTTGAGGCGTTCCAGTGACCCCATTGGTTCCATTGAGTCCAGGCTTCTATTCCCGTCAATATTATATCGCAATAAAGAAATCTCTCTTGTTACCAATTTCGATAGTAACCATTCGTTATTAATGTTAACATGGATGATTCAACTTCTGTCCAAGATTTTCAATTTCTCCGAGAATGAAATATCTCTCGTAACAGTAGAAGAGTTCTCTCTGCTATAAAATGAGAGCAATCCAAGAGACACAAAATTATAAAATAATGACAAACATGGATAGAGCTAGTAGTTCAAGCAGCATTGTATCCTCAAGTTTTTGACTAAAGAAGAAATTAAGCTTTCAGAAATTTTGCGGCATTTACAAACCCAGTTTTGGCGATAACAATATTCTTTTCAAATTTCAAGTACATGAGTAGTGTATGAAAAGTCAGAAATGGTAAAATGATTTTCATCAAATGATTTTCACCAAGTAATAGCTCAAACATATCAAAGCCAAAGACCTATTTTGCAATTATAGCATTGTTGCGAAAATTATGGAATGTGTGTGTGTGTGTGTGTGTGTATTCGCGTGCGCATATAGAAGGGTAACTTGTAAGAAGAGACCTAAATCGAAATTAATATTGACCTGTCACAACTATCTGAAATCTAAATCGATCTGTCAGAATTGATTCTCCTTGAAATATATTGTTCAACACAAAAACCTAAGACATTTTTTTATATCGTCTCAATTTGTGATTTAAAAGCTGAAACAATTTCTCAAACGCTTATATTTAATTTCAATGTTAACAAAATAATTAACTAAATAGAAATATGTTTTAGACAAAACTTGTATAATTTTTTAATATACTTTATAACTGTGTGTCTAGATTTTTCAAAAAAAATACAGTACTCAAAAAAATACTGTATCTCAGAGAGTTTGATATTTAACAATATATTTCAAGAAAAATTGAATCAAGGCATCTATTATGGAAATGTTTGGAATGGATTCCGATCAGAATTATTCCATTTTTTTCTAGAAAATACAATAGAAATTTAGGGACTAATTGAACAATTTCGATCAGAGAATCCATTCTAATTTGTTCCATGATAGGTGTCCAGTTGTCCCTAGTAGTGACAATACATAGTTTCATTGTCATTATTAAAATTCTGAACGGAAGTTAAACCATCCAAATCAGATATTCTTTTTTCACCAGATCCACTGATGGTCGGTGCAGGTGGTGCTGGAGGCACGTCATCGTCCTTAGTATCCATGTCCATTGGTGCCTCTCCACTACCATCATTCGCAGAACATATAGGATTTATGCTGGGTGGTGGTGGAGCTGGTGGCACGACAGTTTCCTTCATCTTTATCCACTGCTGCGCCAGAGCAGCCCAATCCACTATTTCAGATAATAACAATAAATTCATATATTTACTTATTCTCACTTATTACCAATACTTTAAAAAGTTTTATAAAGAGAGGAAAGGACAAGTTAGAATTGTTTTCCAATCAAAATGCGGTGTATAAGATCTCATGTGATGATTGCGAGGCCAGCTATGTTGACCAAACAAAAAGAAAATTGAGTACGAGAATACGTGAACGTATTTCAGATATCAACAAGAAAATTCTCCATCTGTCATATCCGACCACCGTATCAATTTCAACCACAATTTCAGATGGAATGAACTGAAGATTTTAGACAGTAAATCTTCCTATAATAAGAGATCGATATCTGAAATGATTCACGTAAACACAGGACTTAAATAAACAAAATAATACAGAATCTTTGCCTAAATCCTATCTACAGATTATCCAATCCCTCTCCTCATAATTCCTCCTTTTCTTTATGTAAATCCTTTATGTACTCCCTCCATACCTTCATCTACACTTATATCCCCTCTTAATTCCCACTTCCCACTGCTTTCCAACATAATCTTTTCCTTCCTTTTCTAAATGTCAATTTTTTATTTCATAATGTCTCATAACACCGAAGAGATAATACGTTGTTTTACTTCTTATCGCATTGTCTCTAATTTTATCCGACTTTCTACGCCAGAAACACTTTTAATTCTTGACTGAAGATATTTTGTTTTTTTACATCTGAGATATTTATTCGTATTAATTTTAGCTATTACTAAATTATAAATTCATATAATATATCGATAAACATTTTACAAATTTCACTTTTATTAATTTTTTGCAATGTATTATCTCAATGTATTATATTGTCTGGTTTGCTATTCATAACAATTTCTTCTTTTTACTGTAACAATAATCTTGCGCTGACATAATTCTTGTATATTATATTTTATCTATAGGACTAAATTCATTTTTATGCGTTATATTCTCTGATTTACATTATGTCAAATGACATTATTCAAGTAATTCAATTAGATAGACTGACTGCAATTAGCTATTGTCATGCGACGACTTTTTCCAAGCTACATTATAACTGTATACAGGATGATAATCGTTTTTATGTTACCAGCGTTCATTAGAGAGAGCAAAGTATAAATTTATATTATGTTTTGTTTTTTTACCATTTGTAATATTATCGATAAAATCGTACTTTTATCTCTAAAATTCTATAGTATGCGTGACGTAAATTATAGCACATTAGCGCGCTAATATCATTGTAAGCGCGTTCTGAATACAGGCCTATATGTTTTTAACATTGATAATGATCCGATCGCGATCGAAACGTTTATTTGTTTATTGCTAGTACATTGTATTAAATCTTAACTAAAGGATATTGTTTCTTTTACTTATGTTCAAACTTCTATATTAACAATGTTTAATTTTATAAAATAATTTTTGGTTCGTAGCTCTTTTTCTTTATTGTTTAATAAATTCATACATAATTAATGTTAATAATAATGATTTTAGTTTGTTACACAACTCTACGATGGTATGTTCAAATGTTTCAAAGATTATTATATATAAAGTTATTAATTAATAAATCCATAATACAAATGTGTAAAATATCCAATGTTGACATCTGTTCGAATGTACTACATTGTGAATTTATTTCTGTCAAACTATTATATGTTGTTCATGTTTATATTCCACTTTTACATAATAGCATAGCATATGAAATGTCGTAACATTTAATTTATATATTTATCTTTCTAAATTCTTTAGAGCCAGTTTTGAAAAGCCATATTCGTATATCACTGCCAAGTTGACTACTGAAAATCTATATTTTCCGTTATGTATACTATACGTATTCTATACCGACAACACTGACAGTAATATATGAAAAAATGCTCAATTTTCAATCTTTAAGAGACAGATTCATTTTAAAAGTTTTAAGCCCAATTGCACCAACGTTACTTTAATTATAAGCGAGGCTTAAAACTCTTTCTATCTCTTTCTCTCTGTCATCTTTAAAGAGAGAAAATGAGAGTTTTAAGCCTTTGCTTAGAGTCAAAGTACCTTAGTGCAATCAGGCCTTAAAGAATTAACAAAAGTGATACAGAACTGATATAAAATTACTAAAGGCTGAAAATTAGATAATTACAAGGAAATATTTCATACATCAAACATCATCCTGCATACACACATTTCTATGCCTTTGTAACATCAGAAGAGCAGAATCAATACATATATATATATAAGGCTTGAATATTTGCCACCCGGAGCGACGGCTCACCTTGATCGTTACTCATGTTTTGATAAGCGGAAGGATTGAGCGCCCACTGAGTCGGATAATCCTTCCCCTCGAACATATCCCCGCTCATCTTCATTTGCGAAGGCGCAAGAGTTCAAGATCTCGACTAGGTATCTCGAGCCAGTTTGTGCCTAACCTACCACGGTCTATCACAGAACATGGTCCTTGGCGCCACTTCACTGGAATCGGAAGTGACTTCGGAAAGTGGAAGCGCTGCGAGAACGGCGTCCTAGCGTATTTTTCCTTTTTGGTCTCGCGCTTTCTCTCTTCCTGGCGATGCTGCTCGATGGAATTTCAACGTCCAAACGTGCGTATTTTCTTTGATTGATCTTGGTGCGTTTCTACTGCGCGGTGATACTTTTCTACAGTTGTACCGTATGCCCGAAAAATTATAACCGTTACTATTCGGAATTTTGGATGCTCCTGTGCTTGATCAGCTTGACACAAACGACGACTGGCGACGATGAGACGCCCCACTCCCCAGGATCTTGATCGACTTTAACAAAGTACGATCCCGCCCGGGATTTTGGCGATAGACAATGTCTACGACGTATCCGTAGCCGTAGACGTAGACACTCCACCAGAAAGATATCGGACATCTCGCCGCATCACGCAGTGCCAATACAGCATTTTAAAATAATGGCTCCCGCACACTGCACACTGACGTGGAGGTGGAAACGCTTGCCTAGACTGCTTAGGGCCAGTTTCACCAACGCCAGTTAGCTTAATCGGCCGTTGACTGACCAATCGCGTTTACTGTTTAGTAGAATCGACCAATTGTGGATGACAGTTAATCACGATCAAGCTTGATCGGCATTGGTGAAACCGGATCTTAGAGTCCTATATTTATAAAGATCTCTTTTCATGCGCAGCACGCTGCGGCAGACGCAAAATGTCACGTAATGCCAATTTTTAATATTTGTTTCCACTGAGTTGTGTTCGGATTTCCGTCTGGATGACACCCCTCCTTGGGTGTCATATCATTTTTGTTTAACGTTTGATAAACAACAAGAATGATATGACATCCGGGGAGCACCGAGGGAATCCAAATGCAGCCCTGCATTTGTTGCGCATAAAAAAAGGAATAACAGCAACAGCATATGTATTAAAGTTTAACCTCAATTATGCGTCTTTTACTTGCTTAGTTCGAAAATTAATATGGAAAACTTAAAAAACTAAAAACTTATGATTATATGGCAACTATTAGTGCAGTTACAATTTGGACAACTATCATTTCAAATTAATTATTTAGATTATTCAGATTTAATAATTATTTAGAATTTATAATATATTCATCACTTCAAATCTTAATAAAAATCAATTCATTGTATGTAAAATAAATAACAATAAATGAAGGGCGAAGTAAGAGTCAGCGCATTTCTTTAAAAAGTCATATAATTAAAGGCATAAATTAAAAGTACAGAAAAGATAAAAAAAGGAAGAAAAGATGTATACTAAGAAATAATAACGGTGAAAAATAAACATATAACATTACAAGTTTCGGCTACCCTTTTTGAGCCCTCTTCAGACGTTAAACATAATGGAAACAGAATTAAAAAATAATTATCGCAAATGTTCACAAATTAAGAATACACGCAGTTCGGTTGAGTCTCGATATAGAACTCGATATTATTCGTACGAATGAACAGTCAAAAATGTGTCGTATCTCTTAGCAAAGTTCTAGTTGATAAAAAAGAAAAAAGAAAAAGACCTCTTATGAAAAAAGTAAACTTAAATAAATTAACAACCGTAATTATGATAAAAAGTAAAAACTCACCAACAAACATATGTAAACAATCAAAACTAATGTATCCATATAAGTATAACAAATAGCAATAAAAAAGCATAAAGAAGAGTGGAATGCAGACGTGAAAAAACGGACATTGCGTATCGACTAATGTGCACGCTCGCTGAAACGAATCACCACGCACTGAGAGAGGAGACGCGCCGTCAGTATCAAAAAAATCAAACTTTATTCACAATGGATAAATATGCCTCATGAAGACCTTCAGTGTCCGTTTGTAAATTAAGACTGTTTTTCTGCTTCTTAATGTTGAGCATCTCGGAAATTAAACGTTGCTTATAACAAGGCTCTTCATCTAAGATTTTAACGTTCTCCCATTGGAAATAGTGATCACATTGTAGCCTATGTTCGGTGATGACAGAACGGACAGAAGTTTTATGCCTGATGTGATTACGATGTTCAGTAATTCTGGTTTTCAATTGTCTGCCAACATACTCGTCTGTCCAACATAAAACGCATCGCAATTGTTACACAATATTTTATATACTATATTGCTCTTCGATGTACGAGGACAAATGTCCTTCTGTACTTTTATGTATTTACCCATTTGGGACTATAAAAAAATACCCTGATGTCGTTTTTATTAAATCTTCTAAATTTCTCCGAGTGACGAGGAATATATGGAACCATAAACCAAGAAGCAATTCACACAGACTTTGTCAGTTAGATCATTATGTACTTTATATCTATTTTTAATTAAATTTGTAATACGTTGATTAATAGTGTCAAAAATAAAATTCAATGAATAGTCATTATCTAGTAAAATATTAATAATAAAAGTCAGATTTTTTGTATGAAATATTGTTATTCATTGTATGTACTCATAAATATACTCAATTTTCATATTTTTTGCAAATATTGCAGACTTTCTCAGCTTCGAATTCTTTGCTGCTCATTGTTCGTTCGATTGAACTTCAATAAGATGCGGCAAAATGTATTTGGCGTCGGAAGTGCATCATCTCATGTAAAATTTTTAACCAGTAGCTACGAATTGCTGCCGCAGCGTGCTGCGTATGAAAAGTCAACTTAAGGCCCGGTTGCAACAACGTCACTTTAATTTTAAAAGAGGCTTAGAACTCTCTTTGTCCTTGTCTCTTTTCAATTTTAAAACAAGATAGAGAGAGTTTTAAGTTTCGTAACTTTAAGTCAAGTTACAGTAAAAACAAATATACGTTTGTTTCATTTCAACTTATTGCACCGGTTTAGAGTGCAACAATAAAAAAGAGAGATAAAAACCTCACAAAAATTTATCCTTAGAATGGAAAGTGAAAAATGAAAATTTTCTCCATTAATTTCAATGATTAAAATTTTCACTTTTCACTTTTCATCCTAGGGATAAAGTTTCATAATTAATACCCAGGAGCCATAAGTTTATCGGGTATTAAGGCTCCGATTGCATACATCGCATGTTGCACGTACATCGTTAATTGGCTAATTTAAAAATAAAATATTCTCATTGATAATACAGTGAAAAATTATTAGGCACCAGCTGATATGAGTGGTGTGTGCAATTGGGATTGTTAGTAAACGGGATCCTCCCAAATTTCATTGACTAATGGCTGCTCTAATCACGTAATTGCAATGACCAATCAGAACACTTAACACCAGTGGTGCTTCTTTTATAAATTTAGAGCTCTAACACGTATTCATAATCAAGCCTTATATTTAAGGCTTCCTTAAATTTATCTTCAGATATTCTACGAATTATTTCATTGGCTATTGAACATCTGAAGATAAATTTAAGGAAGTCTTAAGTACAAGGTCTGACTATGAATGCGGGCATAAGACAGTGAAGCTCCAAAATTCACTGCCAGCGCTGAAAATCTACAGTTTACGTCACGTATATTATACATTTTCAGCACTAGCACAGTGAAGTTTGGAACACATATGTTACTTTACTAATTCCCCTTCATGAAGTATGACAAAAAATTGTTACAAACATCAGTGAGTCAGTTGGTACTAATTGGTTAATGTTAATTTCTCACAATTTCTCATAACGATATAACTCGACGCTGGCCGCAACAGTCGGTCTCGGCACTCTCGACGCGATTACATAATTTCTTTCGAGCTCCGTGCAGTGCAGGAGGTCCTCTGCCATCTCGCATTGCCGTCGAGGTATCCAGAGCTATCATTTCTATCAGTTAGGTAACTCACTCAAATGTATCGTGTTCGATCTCGGAGCAAGGTATTCTTTCGAATATTGACATTTCTGCGAAGACTCCATTAATACGACAAGAAGACGGATATTTTTATTGATTGTGCCGTATGACAAATAATTCTATGAATTAATGTAACACGTATATAAGTAAATCTTGCGGAATACTAATGCGTATAATTGCGCTGAATTGGCAGATAACTCAAAGATATATTCGTTAAAATTCAATATAATTTGCGGTATCGCCAATTAAATCTCGAGCTGATAACAAGAACTTAATTTTATCCAGTTTTATTATACACATTTTATCATCGTCGTCAATCTTGCAAATGTTATATAAATCTCCATGTATTTCATTCAATAATAAGATATCTAATTTTACACGTGGAGTAATTGTCAGTCCCTCGATATTCCATTTTTTGCTGTATTTTTATAGTGAGCAATGGCAGGGAGATCATTTGTGAGTTACTTACGACCTGTTATTCAAATCCAAAGATGTGGACTGATGACAATGGAAAAAGTTGGTAATAGGGATATAGTAGGTTTTGGATATAATGGTGAACCTACTTACTTGGATAGAGTGGATTTTCCCTATCCTGCGGTACGCTGGCAAGAAAACAGTCCTTGTATCATGGTAAGAGGAAGACAATAGAACTATAGCTCTCTCTCTCATAGGGTCTGTTCTTTGTCATTGCATTAAACTACACTAAAATTTTCTATCTTGAGTTTTGGCCAAACTTTAAACATGTAAAATGATTCCTAAGTATTTTAAAAGATTTTGAGACTTTTGTTCACTTACCACTACTTTCAGAAGTGTATCAGAAGTAAAAAAATATACAAGTCTATTTTCAATTTATCAATTGAAAAATATTTCTATATAAAAATATTTTAAACATAGGCATAGTCAGAATTTTGTTTAGAGAGAGGAGGTCAATTTAGAAGAATTGAATTCAGATTTTTGAATTCGGAAAAAGTAAGGGTAGTCAAGTGGTATAGATTATTGGATTTTTTTTATATTTTCTATTATTTTTAATTAATCACTAGCAGGATAAATCACAAAATCACACATATTTAATTTACTAATTTACTTTACTTTTCTCTTAAAATTGTAAACCATTCTTCAAACTAGAAAAATTTAAATTTATAACACTAGCTGTCTTGGATTCTCAGAAAATTTTTCTATAACTTTTACCTCCAATTCTCTTTTATTTTCCAAAATTAATTTCTTGTGAATACTTAAGCAGTTTTCATTATTTTGGTTTTATAAAATTTAGGAGAGAAACCATCATTTTGTCTCCCTCCCCTTAGTTACCCCCAACTAATTCAACTAATTTGCAAGAATGTTTATTGTGCGTTTTCTCGTCTCTGATGTAAAAATCCGAGATAGTAGTGATAGGTGAATATTAGTCTTAAAGGATGATTCCTGATATTAATTCAAGAAAATTTTACATGACTATATCAAAACGATTTAATTTCAAAGATACAGGTTATCAAAATTGGAGAAAAAATTTCATTTTTTCGAAAATTTTAAAAACTTCAAATTATTTTGTGAAACTTTATGTATGTTTAAAGTTATTAAAATAATATCAGTGGTTTTCAAAATTTTTTCCAAACCACTGATATTATTTTAATAACTTTAAACATACATAAAGTTTCACAAAATAATTTGAAGTTTTCAAAATTTTCGAAAAAACGAAATTTTTAAAAATATGTTTTCCACTTCAATTTTGACATCCTATTTTAAAAACTAAGCAGTTTCAGACATATGGTCACAATATTTTCGCCTTGAATTAATGTGAAGAATCATTTTTTTAAATTTTAGAATACTCAGACTATTCTGTAAATTTATTTTAAATACATGTATGCAAGTTCAGCCACAAAGCGTAGACCTATCAATCATTACTAGGTGGCAAATTATACCATGTTTTTTTTTGTCAGGCACTGAGAGAGAAGGAAAAGGGAGACTGGAAGAAGCTATCAATCGAAGAGAAAAAGCTATTGTATCGTGCCAGTTTCCGCCAAACATTTAGCGAGATGGATGCACCGTCAGGAGAATGGAAAGGCATTTTGGGAATGGCTTTGCTGGTATCGAGTGCTGGCATATGGCTGTATTTGTATTTCAAGGAAACATGTATGTTTTTGTGTTCCAATGTGACTCGAATTGGATCATCGAGAAATTGCTGGTTTAATGCAACGTTACTTCTTCCAGCTTATCCGCCTTTGCCTGAAACATTTTCGCTGGAGAGACGATTGGCGCAATTGGATCGCATGAAGAAACTCGACATGAATCCGATCGACGGTCTCTGCGCTCGAAAATAAATTAATTAAATTTACCCTACTACTAATTACTTAGTCATCATGTACAGTATCTCGTTCTCTGAGCGCTTTTATGTATGTGTATATATGTATGTATATATATATATATATATATATAATGTACAAGTGGCGAATAATAAATGTCATGTGGTTACATTAGAGCGCTATCGATATATTAAAAGTACGTTGCTATCAATTTATAGTCTTTATAATATATTGAATTATATGTGAGATATAAGTAGATATATAAATTAGTGCATGTTAAATTATTAAGAATTAAATACAGAAATCGCTCAAATGTAAAACTTGATTGAAGAAAAAGGTAAGTAAGATTTATTTCATTTCTGTACATTTTTCACATATCTCGGATTAAACATATGTGTACAAACTTACGAGTAGACAATTGTTAAGTACAAATCGCTGCCGGCTCGACGACTGCTAAATCCATAACGATTTAGTATTCGCATAGTTGCTATCTCACTTTCCTTTCTCCTCGCGAAAGCTTTTCTTTTTATTTAAAAAAAAAAAAACATTACCAAAGCACGGGTAACTGTACTGTTGCCTGTACTTTTGAAAATTCGCAGTTACACAGTTACGAACTTTCAGTAATGTATGTACGCCAGTTAAATATTTTTTTTACAATCTGTATGTAACGGCTGTGAAACGACAGTACAGTTCTGCAAAGATAAAATGGCATCACTGATCGCGTTACATTCGTTACACATTATTGCTTATTTAAAAATATACTCACACAAATATAAATATACATGACTATCAAAATTTTTGGAAAATACAGAGTATTATATTGCTATCGAGAGAAGTTTACAAACGATCTATAGCTGGTCTTAAATGATAGCTATATACGAGGTAAAATCGCTTCCCTTAATTAAAAATATACAAACGAGAAATAATTTAAGATCAGATATCGGCATCATTCATATTTATTCAACTTTTTATCTTTTTTTTTTTTGCGTTTTTACAGACGGTCCGAGAAATTCGATAAATATGAGTGATCACGAAGTTTCGTTATCAAACCTTCAATGATTACGAAATTCTGATATTTATAAAAAAACACGTAATTTGTTGAGGATCACTAAGATATAATAGTTTACAGTTTTTAAAAATGTAGTACGGCTTTATATAATGCTTTACAATAACATTTAAATTATATATTTATATATATTTATATATATCTTTAAGCAATTGACAATTTAATTATTAAATTCAATCACAGCTTACAATATTACATATGAAAGAGCTTTTAAGTTAAATAATAATTAATATACACGGAATATTGGGTGTTATATATAATTTAAAAAGATACCAAAGCTCTAAACATCCTCAATTTACGTGGCTAAATTAAACATGTTACAAGGATAAATCTTTACATCGCACATTAAAAGTCGTTGAACACAAAAATGCAGTAGCACCAGAAAGAATTTTGATCTAATGTTATTGAAGAGATTTGCTTACGGTAAACACTTCTGTCTTATTAATTATTGCGTCAACGGAATGTAATGTAATTTGATAGTGAACTATGTCTACCATAATCGAAGAACGTAACATACGGAGCTTTTTAAGTAATGTCAAGGCCTTTTCGCGTATTGTCATATACACAAGTTTCATCAAATGCAATGTAAGATTCATAAATATCAGATTCTTCGTTTTTCCTCTTTGTATAATACAAACGTATCTTTTATTTTAATTATCTGATATAAAAATAATACATCATTGTTCAGAAGGATACTAAGGATTATGAGCTAACATTAAGAAACTGGCGTCTCTGTACAAAAGAAAATAGATAAAGCTAATTTGCAAAAAAAATTGTTGCTACGAAATAGACTGCAAAGATTCGAAGCGTTGTCATCACTTTGTCTCGATAATGAGCTACTTTTTAAAAAATATTGTTATTCAAAAAAATTTTTTTTTCTACCATCGTATTATTCGCGCGTAAACCTGAAATTTTATTAAAATCTGAAAAACATACCAAAATCTTTCAACAACGATATATTTATGCTTTGTAGAGAAAAAAAACAAAAAAATAGTATACTTTTAAATAGATATGGCTTCATCCACGAATTTTTCTGATAAAATCACTATAATAAACACTATTTTAGATATTTATAAGTTAAAAAAATTTAGTAGGTAACTCTTAGACTTACTTCTCTATGTTTGATGAGATGTATATTACAATATGTACATTAGATAAGTGCCAATATCACCAATTTGCTGTCACCCTCTTTTTATAAGAATATAGTTTCATATAGAAAACTAAGTTTTTAGTTGTCAATATCGGCGTGTTTTGTGTTGAGAAAAACGTATATAACTTATTATCGTCTGTATACTATTCGTACTTTAAATATATTACAATATGTTACTTATCATGGCTGTGAACACAATTACTATTCGACGATGGTAATGATAAATTTTGCAAATTTTTTTTTATAAATAACGATAATAAAGTGTTATTACACCGGGTAACCGTTTGTAATCTGTGCAACGAAAGTGAAATATAAATAGATCTTATCTCAAATTTTCATTAGGAATTCTGTACGTCTTTAATGTATAACCTTTTGCGTACAGAGCAAAATATATAGTTCTGACAAATGGGGAGGAAAAAAGAAATGTATATATATGTATATATGTATAGCTACTGCTTGGGCATTCTTGTTCTGCGCAAGAATCGTTAAATCTCCAAACTGTTGGTTCTTTCAGAACCGTAAACGTTGTGCCCTTCTGTACATTGAACTGAAACTGAAAGCGAAAAGAAGTCGCGTAGGATGATTCAGTTATTATGATAACCGACCATTAATCGCTGTTTTTCTATCACACAGTTATGATATTGAGCTCGCTACTTAAGTGACGGAAGTAATATCCGAAATTATTGTGTACATTTCATCACCGTACACAATCTCCAGTTCCACGTTGCATTGTGCATTGTTTTTTCCTCTTTATCGAATGTGGCCTAGAGCTTGGACTGTGACTAGTATTGTTATTATTATTATTATTGTTGTTTCCATTACTGTGGAGTGCGTGCTTGGCTTTGTTCTGACCGACTATATTGTTGTTAATGCGATGATAATTGCCTTTGAAACTCTGTTGGTGATTGGCTGCAACAAAAAAATAGCACGCGTCAAATGAGAAAGATATCGTCAAACGTTATGTGTTCGTGTAATCGAAATCTGTTGCAACAACTTAATAATATGCACAAGTAGTGTATAATATGCAAACAAAATCAATTAATTGTCGTACCATGAATGGTTGTTTTGAATGCTTTTCTTCCAGAATAATTGTGGATTTGATGACTATTATAAAAGTGCCTATCTTTGTTTTTATCGTTTTCGCTCTTTCCACCAGTGTTCGGAGAATTGCCACGACTACACTCAGAGTCCTTAGAAAAATATGTAAATAAATTCAAAATTAATAGTGATCCTATATAAAATTATACAGCAGTATATCATTCAAATTCTCTTTAAATATATTACAGGATGTGAGATAAAAACAAGTAAATTAAAATATTATATATATAAAAAAAAAATTAATGTGTATAAAATAATGATAACAAAGACATGTTTCTAATACGTTTAACCTATACCGTATCACTAGCGGGAGCTGAAAGAGTGGATGCATCAGAACCAGTTGAGCTTGACAGAGAGTCTCCTTCGCCTACGGGTAAGAGGAATGTTTCTTTGATCCACCTACGATAGTATATTACTTCATCGGTCACACGGATTATTCTTCCCAGTATGCTGCGTATAATAAAAGTATATTTATTATAATTTACATGTTGTACAGGATAAAATGGAATAGAAGAAACAAATGATAAAGATCTCACCTTACTTTACTGGCGTCATTGATTAAGATATTTGAGGGATTGGCCGCTTGAGAGAGAATACAATAGGCCCAATTAAATGCACTCTTTACATACAAAGCACCGTAACTACTACGGCCGATATCGTTTCCAGGTGTGAGTGGGTCTTCTATGCATAATAGAGATGGTCGATGACCATCTATCATATCTCGTTGAATCTATTAATCAATATGTATAATTAGTATCAAAAATATTGATTGATATAGAGCCTCTATAATGTAACACAAATATAAATTAGACCTCTTCTTTCGATATATATTGACCACCATCCTTTATGCGAATGCCAGTCTTAACATAGTTGAACTTTCTCCCATACAACTCCAGAAATTCAATCAATAACACTCCCAGATTAGTATTTGGACAATGAATATCCTTTCTCGGATGTAACTGTAATAAATCAAAATCTTGATTCGACAACAACAATTGATTTCACGAGAAAGTTGTGACAATAATAATAATGTGATTTCAGTAGACATGTTAGCAACAACAATTGTACTCACTTGTAAAAAACTGATGGTCATGAGTATTAAACTGTATGAAGATATACCGCCAGTGAACACTTCGTTAAGATCTCTTTGTAGTAGAAATTGCTTTAACACCATGACTAACTTCTCCAGAACCGGATATTGCCTCTTATAGGAATTTATCAACTCTGCAGACTTGACGCCGTTATTCATGTTGAAACTAATGTCCACCTTAATTTCACTTTCCTTATCAGTCAGTTTGACGATCGGTACACTGGCCTTATCCAACACTTTAATAGAAGATGGCTCAGCGATATTTCGATCTAATAAAGCACGTTCCAAAGTACGCAATGGAAGATTTGTCCACATCCCTATTACTACCAAATCTATATCACTGTAACAATAGGAAAGTCTCTCTCTATACATATATTTGAGAGTACTTGGCACGAGTCTTTGGTAAACAAATATTCCTCTCAGACTAAATTATTCCATCTTTAGCTAAAACTCACTTATTTATCCATTAAATAAATTATTACTTAGTTTATCCAAAGGTGGAACAATCGACCCTCAGATTTGTTTACAAATGCGTAAAGATACCTACCTTGTAGGCAAATATAAACCAGTGCGAAAGCTACCAAATACTTCGACTTTAGAGTCTGGCCAGAGATCATAAATTACATTTTCTATCCTTTTTACAACTCTCAATCTTAATACATGCTCTTCGTGCGAGGGACACATATACGAAA